CTGGTAAGCAGCATTGACTCAACTGCTAGGAGGTCAGTAAGTGCCTCCATCCTACCACGCAATCTACCACTGCAGACACAACCAAGCCACGCCCCAATTCAAGAAAGAAGTTATGTGGAAGCAGGCATCTGTGGGCTTTTACTTGTGGTCTTCCCATAGGTATCTGGTTGGACGCTGTACGAAAACAATGTTTGACCTTTGACCTCACCCAATAAGAGCTTCTTAGGCTCTTAAGCTCTTGATGGTTTCAGGACTGTGTATCTTCTGCTGTGTGCCAGTAATATTACTGAGGCTTGTCTGCCAAGCCTATGGAGACTGCCTATCTAAACAGCTCTCATCACATTAGAATTGCAGAAACAAAAACGGCAGAAACTTCTGAAAACTGAAGCCTTTCCTAGCATTTCTATGCACAATTATTATTTGCAGAAAATATACTTCAAGACATTTACTAGTGCATTATGAATTACCATCAATAATTAAAACTCAGCTGTAATTGCTAGAGTACATGACCAGAATACATTTTGCAGTGCAATTCCTTTGCTTTCGCATTGTTTATTTATCTGCAGGCTAATCCACCAACTTATTTAATGGAAATTGGCCTCCATGTTGAGGTGTGATTCAGAAAGATTCTGCTATATTAAAAAAAAAATTAGATTATTTAAATGTGTGATGGGAACTTAATGTTCAATAACTGTACTATGGTTTCTGATATTTAAATGTTTCAGATTTGATTACATTGCTTGATTTAAACTAGGGGCAACAAACTCACATCTTTCTATTATTTTCCCCTTGCCCTGCAATGTCATTATTTATATCTTTTTCGCCCCGGAATGAGGCACTGTATTTGTCATCAAACGTAGGATTTTACTCCCCTTGGTATTGTCGGATTCAGTCTGCCAGAACCATTAAGAATGTGAATGCCCAAACCAGTTTTTGTGTTACTTTATTTTTCCATGTACACAACAGACAGCCCAGACTTCTAATCATTTAAGCTCAGGACTACTTAAATTTAAATAGAGGATGTTGCCAGACTAAAAAAAATGTCTGCCTCAGAGGATCAGTGTAATGGTGCTGGTGATTAACCCGAAACATTTTTGTCATATGAGAACTTGAACTGATTTATTTCAATGGCCTAATTCATACAGCAGCAGAGCCGATAGCAGTGGTGGTAGGAACCACCACAGAGTGCTATAATCTATCATCTGTCTATCTATCTATCTATCATCTATCTATCTATCTATCTATCATCTATATCATCTATCTATCATCTATATCAGCTATCAGCTATCTATCAGCTATCTATCGATATCTA